TGCTGAGGTTTAGAAGAGGGTTGATGAATAAAGGAAATGATATCATGGTGGGGATCTGGGAAAATGTATTGAACATGTTTCACTTTATGTTTGAATCTGAAAAAGCCTATCTGCTAAGAGTTTTCGGTATGGCCCTTTCACTTATGTACTTCGTGATCGATCGAATTTGAAGAACCTCAATCAGTTTCACGGTTTTTAACAAAAAGCGGAAGCAATATCACTAGTGGAAGTAAATTCGTTCCACTGCTAAATCGTACTCACAGGCCAGTGAAGTTTGTGACATTAGCTAAACAGTTAGATATTTCCATGCAAAGCGTTCACCAGTAATTAAGTTCTAAAGGAAACGTATCTTTATCGTAGCATCTCTTTCCTTTTGTGGGTGATGTATCTGCAGTACAAGAACATTATTTTATCAACATATACACTTTAAAGGTAGAACAGTCGTGATAGATGATGTACTCACGCTATAAGGAATCACGTGAAGTGAGCGTGAGAATCTCCATAAACGCCGAAATGGTTCATGGGTTGATCTACGTAGGATTTCGGATTGGTTAATTTATGGTATTCACCTGTAATCAAATGCTCGTTTGGGTGAGATTAACCTCTCCAACAAACCTTTTGGCAACTAGAGTAAGTGATCAGATAATAAGGTGAGTTGATTATGGAAGCGGCCCTGTCCTCGTGCGTGGACAATGGCGTCCAGTTACTTCGCGTAGTAGGCTGTCTGATCTGGAGTAAGTAGACGACATTGTACTGCTAAGTTGAAAAGATGTCTGAAGATATTTCCATTACGGAAATCAAATTGATTGCGTTTGAAATGGCATAGAAAGTACTGGTGAAGTAGGCCACATTTGGCATGAGAGCTGCGCGAGTGGATAACTCATCAAGGGTTTTGATCTATGAACATTACAATTGCTCCCATCCCGCCACTGTCGCCTAACGTTCCCACTTCATTGGATCCCTAATTGATCGCTTCTCCTTCCTGTTTGGTAGCAACAGTCCACTACTGCGGAATTACCCTATGAAACACTTAGAATTTAGTTCTGAACCTCGTTCACAATGTTTTCACTTTCATCACCTTTTTCACCAAATCGGACCATTTTCACAATTTGATTTTACATTGGGCTCTGTCAGTCACTGGAAAAGGACTGCTTATGAAAACTTGTGTTCAAGAAAGACCAGTTCGTTGCTATCTTAGTTCACTTTTCTTTGGTAACAACCATGTATGGTGCAGAATGTCTATCATTCCAGATGACTGTAATTATTATAAATGTTTTCTATGAATATATATATATATCCCCACTTGAAATTAGCCTGCGCAAAGGCAAGCAAGTACGCGTTCACTACAACTGTTTTCCAGATAGTTGACATTCTAGTAAATCCGTCTCTTGCGCAATGCGAATCTGATTCGTCGCATGTTCGAAGACCAATCTAACCACGCGGTTTGCCCTGATTACTTCAGACTTCTAGTTCGCTCTGTAAATATCTGTCCAACGATAAATCGACAGTGATTGATACAGGTGTTTCTCAATTATTGACCCAAATTGTTTTGTACGATTTCATTCCAAAATTTGAAGTTCTCACTTCAGTATGAAAGGTATCAAGGATTCCGTGATGCATAACACACATTACTTTATGGTTCCGTCTTATCGAAAGATTTCTTGTGAGAAAGTTGCATTTCTTTGCAAAATTAAAAACGTAAACTGATATTCAATTATGCAACCTTTCGGATGGTATGTCTAGTCTCAACTCGGAGTTTAACTTAAGGATCAGTCAAACAGCTTGCTGGTGATACTCCGCCTGTTTTATCATTATACCGTGAATAAAACAATGGTGTGGTCTCTGCCTCGATTAACCATCACGACGAGACTGCATCTTGATATGGTGTGATGGCTCGTGCACCTCTTTGACCTAACGAGCTACACAGGATTTTTTTTTCAAGCCGAAGATCTAATCATGCCTGGAAGGCCAAAGGGTAGAGGTCGGACGAAGTTCAGTTTCCTGGTCCTCCAGGTTAGGGGTACGACTAGAATTTGCGTTTCAGTCGGTGACAGTGGTGGAAGAGTAATTGAACCAAGTTAATGGGCCTCCACTTCGCTTCACCCGATGCCTTGTGGCTTGGTTCTTGTCGGAACTAAAGGCTTTGGTTGGGAACCCTAATCGTCCTCCTGCTTATTGGCTAGACACCCTAACAATAACCGTCCATCAAACCCTTCTCTGTATTTCCCTGTACGCTATTTATGATGATGATGCGTTGATT